CGCTGGGACATCGCCAACATGACGGTGAAGGAGGCGTTGGCGGGCTCGAAGGGCAAGGCGGTGAAGGCCGCCATGGACGAGGAGATTCGAAGCCTAATCACAAACAGCATATGGGAGCTGGTCGAGCGTCCGCGCGGCGTCAATGTCATAAAGAACCGCTGGGTTCTGACGACGAAGTATCACATTGACGACATGGTCGCACGCGAAAAACCCCGCTTGGTGGTGAAGGGCTTCACGCAGGTCTACGGAGCTGACTACGATGAGACGTATGCACTGGTCGGGAGCTACGTTACGCTACGGATTTTCCTTAGCATCGTCACCGTCCTCGATCTACACCTCATGCAGCTGGACATGAAGAATGCATTTTTGTAGAGCAAGCTCGACCGCATGCTCTACATGGACCAGCCGGCTTACTACAACGACGGAAACGCACAAGTCTGCAAGCTGCTGAAGAGCCTGTATGGGCTGAAGCAAAGCCCTATGCTGTGATACTCTGTGCTCGACTCTGTGCTCACTAGTGCTGGTTGGAGCAAGAGCCAGGTCGACGAGGCCGTCTATTTCCGAGTTAGCGACGACGGAGTGGCGTGCTGGGTGCTCGTCTACGTCGACGACCTGCTCGCCGCCAGCAGCAGCACCGCGATGCTGAAGGAGCTGCTAGAGGCCGCTTTTGAGCTGCGCGAGATCACCCCGGTCGAAAAGTATGTGGGGCTCGAAATCGTGCGCGACCATCCGGCGCGGAAGCTGTGGCTGCACCAGCAGTCCTATGTTGACAAGTTGCGTAGGCGCTTCATCGACGAGGAGCAGGCTGGTCGGCGCTTCCGTTGACGCTTACGCGGAGCTGACTTTCGACGATGAGGACTTCCAGTCGCGTGAAGAGGAGGAGTAACGTTAAAAGGTCGGTTCGCTGCAGTTCGCTGCCATGACAACTCGGCCCAACATTGCTTTCGCGTGTAGCAAGCTGGGGTCTGGTCTGACGGTGAGGAGCAATTAGCACTGGCGCGAGGCCGATACACCCCCGGCTCGGATGGGCATCCTAGCGAGTTATTTCGTCTATACAAACCTCGTCTTGCCCCGGCATTTTTGTCCCTACTGGCCCCGCATGCCTTTCCCCCTTCTTTGCCCCCCTCAATTCTCTCCGGACGTACAGTGCTCATCCCTAAAAAGGGTGATGCATCCTCCATAGATAATCTCCGCCCCATCACCCTCATGAACGCGGACTACAAGGAACTGGCCATCTGCTTGGCTAACCATCTCCAACGGCTCCTTCCTCTAGTGATACACCCTTCAAAAACAGCCTTCATCAAACCCCAAAAGATAGGAGACACAATAAACGATACTCTCGATATTATGGATTGGGCAGCCTTCAATCAGACTCCCCTCCTTGCCTTGACAGTGGATTTTTGTAAAGCTTACGATTTGTTAGACCGACCCTTCTTATTTCTGTGAAGATAGTAAGCAGAGTGAGGAGCCATAACTAGGGTTTAGCTAGCTAGGCAAGAGAGAAATGAACAAAGGAGGGTTTCACTAGCAGCAGTTGGGATACATATAGCAAACCCTAACAGGGTTGTACTCGCTACACAGCACCCCACTACAGGCTAGATAATAACATTCTGACACATCCCCATAGCCAAAGTGGGGTGTAATCAGCAGAGCACACTGTCATAGAGCAGGTTCACAATGGCAAGCAAAGCTAGAGGCTATCACAGAGGGCAAGTGAGGAGGAGGAGACACCGTGGAAGGAGAGAAGATGGGAGGCAACGTCTGAAGCTGCAGAGGCACGGGCACAGGAGCGGCTGACTCACTGGCTACCGAAGCAAGGGCGACGGACTACTGGATTGACTGGCTCCGCGGCTAAGACGAGCGGCAGGAGCAACGGACCCACTGGCGACTGGTGCAACAGGCTCACTGGCTACCGAAGCAAGGGCGACGGATTACAGGCGCTGCAGGCGACACGACACCTACCTCCACACAACCTCCTCCAACTGACCCACACCCTTGACACACACCCCCTGCTGAACCCCTAACTCCACTCCCACGTCACCCCCCTAGCACCACTCCTTCGGCTCCCACACACCCACCCCCCTGAGCGGCGGCTGTAGCAGCGGGAGACGGAGGAGGAGGAGCAGGGAACGGCGCACACAACCGGCACCCCCACAACCGTCCCCCCCACACTCCCCACCCCCAAACCCTAAAGCGGGTGGCACGGGGTAGGAGCGCGGGGGACGGCAAGGAGGACGGTGCGCGGCCCCCAGGGCACCACCACGGGGCAGCGAGGGGCCGCGCGCGGCTCCCCAGGGCGCCGCGACGTGAAGGGCGGGGGCCGCGCGTGCTCCTCAGGGGGCCACCACGGGGCAGCGAGGGGCCGCGCGCTGCTCCAGGGGTGGCACACGGCCCCCAGGGCGCCACCACGGGGCAGCAAGGGGCCGCGCGCGGCTCCCCAGGGCGCCGCGACGTGAAGGGCGGGGGCCGCGCGTGCTCCCCAGGGCGCCGCGACGAGCAGGGCGGGGGCCGCGCGCGGTTTTCCAAGGTAGGAACCCGCTGCGCGCCTCAGAGCGCTCCGCGCGCGGCAGGAAGGAGTCGCACGCCACGGGGCGTGCAACAGACAGAGTAGCAGCGGAAGTAGTTAGGTGGGCCCACAGGCCAGGAGCGTAGATGCTCTGATAGCATGTGAGATTAGTAAGCACAGCGAGGAGCCATAGCTAGGGTTTAGCTAGCTAGGCAAGAGAGAAATGAAGAAAAGGAGGGTTTCACTAGCAGCAATTGGGATACATATAGCAAACCCTAACAGGGTTGTACTCTCTAGATAATAACATTTTGACAGCCGACACGCGTGATTTCGCTCTGGAGTTCGGAGGAGGATCTAAAACTCTTAAATTGGTCGGCTACGCGGACGCGGACGACGCCGGCGACAAGGAGAATCGCACTAGCACAAGTGGCTACGTTTTCACCTTCGACGGCGCAGCTGTCTCTTGGACGAGCCAACGTAACAAGTGCGTGACTCTGTCCTCTACAGAGTCGGAGTACATCACGGCCACCGAAGCACGCAAGGAGGCTCGTCGACTTCGGTTCCTCCTCAGCGAGTTCCAGCTCCTTGATGCTGGGACGCCAACTGTTCTGAACGTGGACAATCAGTCCACCATCGCTGTCGCTGAGGGCTTGGGGCTGAAGGGCAACCTCAAGCACATGGAGCGACGCTACGCTTGGCTGCAGCAGATGGTGAAGCGCAAGAAGATTGCGCTGGAGTACATCCCGACATCCGAGCAGCCGGCGGACTTCGTTATGAAATGGCTGCACTTTCTGGCCTTCAACTGGTTCTCTGTCGCGGTCGGTCAGGTTCACCTTGCCGAAGTCGCCGACGACGGCGACGTGCAGCAGTAGGTGCCATGTCCTCTAACATGGCTGGTGCGGTGATTGGAGTGCGGAGGTGTGCACGCCAGAGAAATATCCCCTTGTATTCTATTAAGTAGGTTCTCGGTGGACCTTGTGTGTGGGGGCCCAAGCTCGAGCTGGGCAGGGGAGTGTCGAGGAGAAAAGGCCCTGCCCTCGCTTGGGCGAAGTCGGCCATGCTTTTCGGAGCAAAACTGTGTTCGTTTCGTGGTCATCGGCGACTTCAGGGACTTTTATCTCTGTTCGACGGGTCGATTGTTAAGACGATTAAGTCGTCGAAATTGAAGTGTTGTTGAAGTGTCGTCGAAATTAAGTTGTTGTCAACTGCCCATCGACAAGTAACTTGTCGAGAGGAGCAAATCGGCGTCGAAATCGGGCCTTGCGGGTCGATGAAATTGGAGAAAATAGAGTCTCGACGAAACGCCGGTCGACAGAATTAAGCTTGAACGAGGCATCGTCGAGCAGAGAAATTCTGGTCGGCCAAAATCACTTGTCTCCAAAAATCGCAATGTGCGCGAATTTCAACCAACCGCGAAACAGCAAATTTCGACGAATCAGAGCATTTCGGAAATTGTACTCCCCAGGAGATTTCGAATCAGTAAGGAAACTGAACCTGAAACACGTTTTTACTAACAGTAAAAACGTAAACAACTCTGAACGTTGGAAACCTGACAAGCTCCCAGCTCAGGAGAAAGACACATATGCTTGTCGTTTCACCTGGCGTTGCTTACTCGGAAAGGTCGAGCGTTCGTGGAGGAACGTTTCTTCAGGGTTCATTGTGCTTGCTATTGGGATCTCCTTCCTTGTACCATAATCTTGTTCTATCAATTTTCCTTGGTGAAACTATGCTCGAATTCTACTAAGTCATTCAAACACTCTGTCCAGAATCACTGCCACAACTCTGACCGTGCGTCACACGCGATTCAGTTCTCCCTTAGAATAGAATTCTCTGCAGCGCCCGCCGGTGCGGAGAACGTACGTGCAGGTTCAACACCCCCAGACCTCCCACGCCCAGCGTACCACTCACGAAGCTGCTGAGGCGATGGGGTCTCGCGGGAACGCGGCTGCAGCTGGCGCTGGCTGCCGCCAAAGCCTCCACGCCGCGTAGCTCCAACCCGACCAGCACCACCGCCTCCGCCACCTCCACCGCCGCCGCTGCCGCCTCCACCGCCGCTGCCGCTGCCGCTGCCTCCACCACCGCTGCCTCCATCACCGCTGCCGCTGCCTCCACCACCTCCTCCGCCATCACCGACGCCCCCACTCCTACCACCACCCTTGCCTCCATCCCCACCCCCTCCGCCTCCTCCACCGCCAGTACTGCCGCCCCCGCCATCCCCTCCATCACCCTTGCCCCCCTTGCCCTTACTGCTGCGGTGCCTCCCACTAGGAGCAAACGCAGCCCCGACCTCCTCGGTGCTTAGGAGGTCAACAGCAGCACCAGAAGCAACAGAGGGCAGAAGGGGAACGGGGGGACACCCCTAAAAAACTGGGGCGCAGGGGTTGCCGCGAGGAGCTCCTACAGCAACTATACTCTTCTCAGCTGCAGTGAGGCGCTCCTCTAGCAGGTCGACGGTAAGCGTAGTGGGGCAAAGGGAGAGAAAGTGGTCCCTAACTTAGGAAAGGGAGTCAGGGAGACGAGTGACTAGGTAGAAGAGGGTGATGTACATGGGGGGTGGGTTCTTGGCGCAGAACTCGGGGGGAAGGGCAGCGCGGTAGCGGGTGTCACTAGTGCGGAGGTGAGTAATGAGGTCAGCAACTGTGGCAAAGGCGGCCATGTCAGGGAACAGTATTGGTAGCATGAGGCGACTGAGGGTAACAGTGGCAAGGGAGGAGTAGCGCGCGACGACAGCGTCATACAAAGACTTAGCAGTCTTGTACTGGCCAAAGTGTGCGCGCTCAGCAGAAGGCAAGTGACTACGAACAGCAAGGCGAGCAACAACGTCACGAGTAGTCCACTGCGGGCGAACGGTACTGTTAGCATCGGTAGCAGGTGCAGCAGAGGCGCCAGACGTGAGATCAAAAAGCGAGACTCCGTCCTTGCTATCGCACTGAAGATACAGCCGCAGATCATCTACCCAGACATTGAAATCAACAGCGCGTCCCTTAGCATCGAAGGTAAGAACTGAGGGGCTATCCATGATGGCAGTAGCAGCAGTAGCAGGAGCAGTGGGGTCAAGGCAGCGCGGCTCAGTAGGGCAGTGCGGCGCGGCTCGGCTGGATGGCGCAGCTCGGCGGAGCGGCCGGCAAGCAGGCGCGGGTGGCGCGCTTAGGGTGGGTGCTTACCAGGGGCGAGCAGGTCAGGCGCGACGGCGGGGCCTCAGCGGCGACGACAGCGGCGGTCGCAACGGCGGCTGCAGGCTCGACGGTGGCAGCAGGGCCGCAATGTCGGCAGCAAGTGCGACGACTGCTGCAGGTCACGGGGCCTCGGCGGCGGCTGCAGGGCAGGGGGCTGCGACAGCGGCTGTAGGGCAGGGGCCACGACAGTGGCTGCAGGAAAGGGGCCGCGACGGCGGCTGCAGGTAAGGGGCCGCGACGTGGGCCGGCAGGCCAGGGGCTGCGACGGCGGCTGCAGTCAGAGGCCGTGACGTAGGGCGGCAGGGCAGGGCCGCGACGAAGGGCGGCAGGGCAGGGCCACGACGGTCCACAAAGCAGGGCCACGTTGGGCGGCAGGTTAGGCAGGGCCGCGACGGGCAGGGCTGCGACGGCAGGGCAGGCGCTCGACGGCGCAAGTGAGGCATGTGAAAGTTTAGAAGAAAGAAGAGGATTGCACTAGCAAGAATGAGGATACAAATAGCAAGCCCTAGAAGGGTTGTACTCGCTATAGAGCACCCCACTACAGGCTAGAGCATAACATTCTGACACACCCCCATAGCCAAAGTGGGGTGTAATCAGCAGAGCAAGCAAAGCAGTACAAGCTCAGGGTGGATCACAATGTCACCACACATTCTGAGCACAAGTTCAAGAAGCAATAGTTTTAAGTTCACAAATGTAAGCAAAGCTAGAGGCTATCGCAGAGGGCAAGTGTGGAGGAGGAGGGACTATGAGAGGAGAGGAGGTTGTGGGCGGCAACTGAAGCTGCTGGAACACGGCGCAACTGGAGCAACTGGCACACGGGCAACTGGAGCAACTGGCACACTGGCAACTGGAGCAACTGGCACACGGGCTACTGGAGTAACTGGCTCCGCGGCTAAAAGTAGCGGCAGACGAGCAACGGACTCACGTGCGACTGGAGCAACGGGCTCACGGGCGACTGGCGCAACGGGCTCACGGGCGACTGGCGCAACGTTTTCACGGGCGACTAGAGCTGCTGGCTTCACGGCGGCCACCCCCTTCAACCTCCCCAAACTATCCCACCCCCATTTCACACACCCCCTACTGCACCCCTAGGTTCACTCACACCCCACCCCCTAGCACGACTCCGTCGACTCCCACACACCCACCCCCTAACAAAATAGTAGGTGTGGGGCCTAGGCTTAGTAGCCTAGGCCCACACTAGGAGGTAGGTGAGTTCGAGTGGGTTTCTCCTAGGGGAGAGTATCGAGAGATTTGGAAGGGGGAGAGGTGACTAGCAAGAGTTGGGATACAAGTACATTGCCCTAAATTGGGTTGTACTCATTACAGAGTACCCCACTGCAGGCTAGACAGCAAATATATTCTGACACACCCCCATAGCCAAAGTGGGGTGAAATCAGCAGAGCAGGCAAAGCAGTACAAGCTCAGGGTGGATCACAATGTCACCACACATTCTGAGCACAAGTTCAAGAAGCAATAGTTAAAGTGCACAATTATCAGCAAAGCTAGTGGTGGTCACAACGGGCAAGTGAGGAGGAGGAGGGAGAGTGAGAGGAGAGGAGATGGGAGGCGACTGCTGAAGCTGCAGACATACGGGCAACAGGAGCGGCTGGCACAGTGGCTACCGGGACAGCGCCCCGGACTACTGGAGTAACTGGCTCGGCGGCTACGAAGAGCGGCAGGAGCAACGGACCCACGGGCGACAGGCGCAGCAGGCTCACTGGGCTACCAGGACAGCGCCCCGGACTACAGGTGCTGCGGACTACAAGACGGCAGCCTCCGCTCAACCTCCCACAAACAGTCCCACCCCCCTGACACACACCCGCTGCTACACCCCTAGCTCCACTCCCACGCACCCCCCTAAAACCCTAAACCCCAGTCTCCCACACAACCACCCCCCTCAGCGACAGCTGCAGCAGTGGGAGACGACGGAGGAGGAGAAGGAAGGGGCGACACAAACGGAGCACCCCCACACCCGCAAACGGGGGGGGGGGGACAGTGCGCACGAGGGCGCAGACAGTAGCCGAGCGCACGGGGGCGCGAGCACGAGACACGGGCAGCAACAGGCACGGGCAGCACAGGCACGGGCAGCACAGGCACGGGCAGCACAGGCACGAGCAGCAACAGGCACGGGCAGCACGGGCACGGGCAGCACAGGCACGGGCAGCACAGGCACGGGCAGCACAGGCACGGGCAGCAACAGGCACGGGCAGCACAGGCACGGGCAGCAACAGGCACGGGCAGCACAGGCACGGGCAGCACAGGCACGGGCAGCAACAGGCACAGGCAGCACAGGCACGGGCAGCACAGGCACGGGCAGCACAGGCACGGGCAGCACAGGCACGGGCAGCAACACGCACGGGCAGCACAGGCACGGGCAGCACAGGCACGGGCAGCACAGGCACGGGCAGCAACAGGCACGGGCAGCACAGGCACGGGCAGCACAGGCACGGGCAGCAACAGGCACAGGCAGCACAGGCACGGGCAGCACAGGCACGGGCAGCACAGGCACGGGCAGCACAGACACGGGCAGCAACAGGCACGGGCAGCACAGGCACGGGCAGCACAGGCACGGGCAGCACAGGCACGGGCAGCAACAGGCACGGGCAGCACAGGCACGGGCAGCACAAGCACGGGCAGCACAGGCACGGGCAGCACAGGCACGGGCAGCAACAGGCACGGGCAGCACAGGCACGGGCAGCAACAGGCACGGGCAGCACAGGCACGGGCAGCACAGGCACGGGCAGCACAGGCACGGGCAGCACAGGCACGGGCAGCACAGGCACGGGCAGCAACAGGCACGGGCAGCACAGGCACGAGCAGCAACAGGCACGGGCAGCACAGGCACGGGCAGCAACAGGCACGGGCAGCACAGGCACGGGCAGCACAGGCACGGGCAGCACAGGCACGGGCAGCACAGGCACGGGCAGCAACAGGGGCGGCTTCTGGGGTCCAGGGGCGGCACCTGCAGCTGGGCGGCGGTAGCTGCTGCGGCAGAGCGGCGGCGGCTGCTGCTGCTGATAGAGCGGCGGCTGCTGCTGCTGGGTCGGTGGCGGCAGCTGCTGCAGGTCTGGCGGCGGCTGCTGCTGCAGACTCTGGCGGCGGCTGCTGCTGTAGACTCTGGCGGCGGCTGCTGCTGCAGGCTCTGGCGGCGGCTGCTGCTGCAGGCTCTGGCGGCGGCTGCTGCTGCAGACCCTGGCGGCGGCTGCTGCTGAAGACCCTGGCGGCGGCTGCTGCAGCAGGCTCTGGCGGCGGCTGCTGCTGCAGACCCTGGCGGCGGCTGCTGCTGTAGGCCTGGCGGCGGCTGCTGCTGCAGGGCGGCGGCGTCTGTTGCTGCAGGCCTGGCGGCGGCTGCTGCTGCAGGGCGGCGGCGTCTGCTGCTGCAGGCCGGCGGCGGCTGCTGCTGCAGGAACTGACGGCGCCCCGCGGGTCCCGCATGGGGCGTCGCGACGAGCAGGGGCGACGCCCCGCGGGTCCCGCACGGACGTCGCGACGAGCAGGGGCAACGCCCCGCGGGTCCCGTAGGGTCGTCGCGACGACTAGGGGCGACGCCCCGCGGGTCCCGCGCGGGCGTCGTGACGAGCAGCGGGGAGGGCAGCGCGCAAGCCCCCCCGAGGGCGCTTCGATGGACGGGAAAACCGCCGCGCGCCACGAGCGCGCGGCGGGCAGAAAAAAGCCGCCACGCGCTCGGAGCGCGTGGCGGGAAGAAAATGCAGCGCCGCGCGCCACGGGGCGCGCGGCGGACAGTAGGGCAGCGGAAGACGTTGGTGGCCCCGTTAAGCTAGGCGGCAGGAACTTGCCTGCTCTGATACCATAACAAAATAGTAGGTGTGGGGCCTAGGCTTAGTAGCCTAGGCCCACACTAGGAGGTAGGTGAGTTCGAGTGGGTTTCTCCTAGGGGAGAGTATCGAGAGATTTGGAAGGGGGAGAGGTGACTAGCAAGAGTTGGGATACAAGTACATTGCCCTAAATTGGGTTGTACTCATTACAGAGTACCCCACTGCAGGCTAGACAGCAAATATATTCTGACACCCCCCTCAGCGGCAGCTGCAGCAGTGGGAGACAGAGGAGGAGGAGGAGCAGGGGAGACCACACACCCGCCACCCCCTACTCGCCACCCCCAAACCCTAACACAGGGCAGGGCGGGATGGCGGGTAGGGAGGTTACGGGGGGGGAGGGGAGGAGGGGGGGGGGGGGGACCGACGCGCGGCCTCCCAGGGCGCCAAAATAGGCGGCAGAAGGGGCGGCGCTCGCCCCCCTCCCCCAGGTGGTCGCCGAGGGAGCCGCGACGGGCGACGAGAAAAGGGGGGGGGGGGGGGGGGGGGGGGGGGGGGGGGGGCGGTGCACGTGCCCTCGGTGCGCCGCGACTGGCGACGCAGCATGGCCGGGGCAAGGCCGGTCCTGGCGCAGCCCGTACGGGCCGCGCGCTGCCTGTACGGGCCGCGCGCAGGCCACGACGGGCGACGGGAAGCGACGCGCGGGTCCTTGTCGCCCGTCGCAACGCCTCCCGAGGGCGACGCGCCGAGGGACGGGGCAGAAGCCCGCCGCGCGCCTCGGGGCACACAACGGGCAGAGAACCGCCGCGCGCCTCGGGGCGCACGGCGGGCAGAAAACCGCCGCGCGCCTCGGGGCGCACGGCGGGAAGAAAAACTGCCGCACGCCACGGGGCGTGCAGCACAGAGAGTAGCAGTAGCAGTTGCAGCGGAAGCAACGAGGTGGTGAGCCCACCCACTGGATCGATCCAAGGGGATCGACCTGCTCTGATAGCATGTGAAAGTTTAGAAGAAAGAAGAGGATTGCACTAGCAAGAATGAGGATACAAATAGCAAACCCTAGAAGGGTTGTACTCGCTATAGAGCACCCCACTACAGGCTAGAGCATAACATTCTGACAAGGCAGGCGCGAGGCGCGCTACAGGGCAGGAAGGCGCAGCAGCGCGCTTTGGGCAGGGCAGGGAAAAGAAATCGTGGTGGGCCCTTGAAAAAAAAAAATTGTTCCCACAAGGGAACCTGCTCAGAATACCATGTGAGAATAAGCACGAGGAATGAATGAACTAGCAAGCAGGTGGGTACAAGTAGGAAAACCTAAAAGTGTTGTACCCTATATTGCCTACACCACTACAGCCTACACAGACTATAGCATATAAGTTTGACAACACGGCCCTTAAACAACCCTCCCGTAGCACTTATGACCCTTGGTGCCCTCCGATCACGTCACTAATGGCCCTTGGCGCTCTTCCCGCAGCACCTACGGCCCTTAGCGCCCTCTGTCGACGTCACCCACGGCCCTAGGCGCCCTCTCCGTAGCGCCCACGGCTCCTGGCGCCCCCTATCCGCGACGCCCACGGCCCTTGGCGCGCTACCCACGTCGCCCCATCCCTTGGCGCATCTTGCTCGCAACGCCCACGGCGCCCCGTCTCTTGGCGCCCCCTGCTCGCAACACCCACGGCCCTTGGCGCGCTGCCCGCGACGCCCGCGACCCTTGGCGCCTCCTGCTTCGCGACACCCACGGCGCCCCCAACTCGCAACGGCCACGGCCCTTGGTGCACTGCCGGCGCCGCCCACGGCCCTTTGCGTACTGCCCGCAACGCCCACGGCGCTCACCACTCGCAACGCCCACAGCCCTTGGCGCCCACTGCTCTCGACGCCCACGGCCCCCAGTGCTCGCCCTCGACCGGCGCCGCCCATTGCACACACCCCCGACATCCGCGACTCGCTGCCCTTGCTAACCAACGACGCGGGTTGCAACCCCTGCGACCGACGCCCCTCGTCGCCCTCGACCCCCTAGACCCACGACCCTCGACAGTCGTGCCGCCCTCGACACACTACGGGCCCCTGTTGCCTCCTGCTCGCGACATCCGCGACCACGCTCCCTACTTCCCCCCCCCCCCCCCCCCTTCCCCCTCCTACTGCTGCTCACGGCGCTCGCGGACTTGACGCCCGCGACCTGCTGCCTACAACGCCTGCGACCAGCGCCACCTCTTCTTGCGACCAGCGCCACCTCCCTCCTGCGACCAGCGACACCTCTGCCCTAACCCGCTCCTCACGCTGACTGTGACCCGCACCTGAGTACTACCCGTGGCGCCCGCAACCTGCTGCCTACTGCTCCCACGATCGCTCTTCTAAGCCCTCCTCCCCCCCCCCCCTCCTCCCTCCTTTCCTCTCCCCCTCCCCACCCTCCTCCTGTGGTTGCTCTCTCTCCCTCTTTCCTCCACCCTCACCATCAACTCCATCACCCTCACTCCCCATTCTCCCTCCTCCTGTCTCTGTTTTCCCCTTCACACTATCCCATCGTATCCCCACCCCTCCCTCCCTCCTATCCGTGTCGTAACCTCTCCCACCCTTCCATTCTTCTCCATCATCGTCTTGGTCATCCCAACTTTTTCACCCTTCACAAAGCCGTCATTTTCTCTCTCCTTCATGGTCTCCCACCCACTCTCCCCCCACTTCCTCCCTCCCTTGCCCCACCTTGCACAATCTGTGTCCAGAGCAAACTTAAACAGCACCCTCACCCCAGTCATCCCACTTTTTCCCCTGCACCACTTGACCTAGTCCGTATGGACCTCCTGGGTCCCAACCCCACACCCTCCCGCCAGGGTCACTGATACCTGCTCATCCTTGTAAATGACCATAGCAGATACTCCTCGGTCTCCCTCCTCCGCACCAAAGCCGAGACCCCCGCTGTTATTATTGCATGGGCAACTCAGGCTGCGACTTACTTTGGACGACCCATTCGTTGTCTCCATTGTGACGGCGATGGTAAGTTCCCCAATCACACCCTTTCCTCTTACTGCACGACCCATGGCATTCACCACACCTACACTCTACCCCACTCCCCTCAGTAAAATGGTGTTGCTAAGAGTCGAGTCTGAGAGATCACCAAAACTGCTCGGTGTCTCATCGTTCATGCCTCCTGCCCGCCCTCCCTATGGGGATATGCCCTACTTCATGCTACCATTCTCACCAACCTTTATCCCCATCCCAGCGCCCCTCCACCACCCCCACCGAACTATGGACCTCCACCAAGCTTGATATCTCACCTCTTCGCATTTGGGGCTCCAAAGCCCACGTCTGTCAAACATTTATATGTTTGTGTGGTTCTAGGCTGTAGTGGGTCACACCATAAGGGGTACACCAGATTAGGGTTTGACATATTTGTACTGTTGTTCCTGCTAGTCACTCCTCATTCTCGTTTCTCATTCTGACATGGTATTACGAGCCTAGGTTCCACCTAGGACCGAAACGATAGGGCCCACCGTTTCCGCTAGCCGCGCCCTCGTGCGCCGCCGTTCTTTTTCCTGCGCCTCGAGCGCCTCCTTCTCAAGGCCCCGTATGGCCCCGCGCTAGCCTCTCACGGCCCCCGATCGGCCCCGCGCTAACCTCCTAAGGCCCCCGTCGGCCCCACGCTAGCCCCGCGCTAGCCTCCTAAGGCCCCCGATCGGCCCCGCGCTAGCCTCCTAAGCCCCCGTCGGCCCCACGCTAGCCCCGCGCTAGCCTCCTAAGGCCCCCGATCAGCCCCGCGCTAGCCTCCTAAGGCCCCCGTCGGCCCCGCGCTAGCCTCCCACGGCCCCTGCAGGCCCCGCGCTAGCCTCTCACGGCCCTCCCGCGCTAGCCCCGACCGGCCCTCCCGCGCTCGCCCCTCTACGACCGAGCCGCACGGCGCGACCCGAACCGAACCGCGCGACCCAGCCGAGCCGCGCCGCCCCAGCCGAGCCGCGCCGCCCTAGCCGAGTCGCGCCGCCCTAGCCGAGTCGCGCCGCCCTGGCCGAGCCGCGCCGCCCTAGCCGAGCCGCGCCCTACTTACCTGTGCACAGCACTGCTACTACTACTGCTACTGCTACTGCTACTGCTACTACCACCACTGCTGCTACTGCTACTTCAGCTATGGCTAGCCCTACAGTTCTCTCGTTCGATTCTGAGGGCCGCCCGATTAAGTTTGATACCTGGCTTGATGATCTGCACCTGTTCCTCCAGCTCACTGCTAGAGAGGATATCTCGCTGTACGATCACGCACTAGGCACAGTCCCTGCTCCTGCTACTACTGCTACCGCTACTGCTCGCTCGCAGTGGCAGACTCGCGATGCCCACGCCCGCTTTGCCATTCGCAACTCCCTGCCAGTCGATGAGCGTGAGCACTTCGGCCAGCATCAGACTGCGCAGGCCCTGTACACTGCTGTAGTTGCGCGCTACTCCTCCCCGGCCTCAGCTGCACTAGGCCGTCTCTCCCTTCCCTACCTGTTCCCCGACCTGTCCGCTTTCCAGACAGTCGCTGACCTCATCACTCACCTCCGTACTAGTGATGCCCGCTTCCGTGCAGCCATGCCCGCTGAGTTTCTTGCATCCAACCCTCCCCCGCTCTGGCTCACTCTCTACCACCTAGTCACCCGCCTCCCTGACACTCTGCGTACAGTCAGGGACCACTTCCTAGCTCGCTGTCCC